ACTTCTCCAGTCATAATGAAAATTCAAGGTATAAATCAAAACAGAGCTACACAAACAAACCAATGTGACAGAGACTTTAAAAAAATAAAAAGGACAGTATAAAATAAAGACCTTGACAAGTAGCAATTATCAAATGCATTGTTTAAGACTTTTAAGTTAAAAGGTGGAACATCTATATTAGAAAAGAATAAATTACCAAAAACTATTGATGATCGAGCCTCGATTGCTTCGAAAAACGCTTAATTGTTACAAGCCTGGTACTCCTAACAGTTTGCTGCTGAAAGTTCTACAAGTAAAATAAAAAGGAAAAAAGAAAAATAAAAACGTTAAGCCTAAAAAGATGCGCACCGACAAGAGACGGTGAAATGGCAAGATTTCCTCTAATTTTTTAGGGTTTCTCGCCTTTTAAATGAATTCTCGAACGTCATTTGCATGCGTCACAGAATTGTTTGTCATTTTATACGTGTCACATAAATCTACCTTTCAGATTTTTTAGAGGGCCCTGTCATTTGGGCTACATTAGTTTTTTTTTTCTTTCTTCCTTATAAAAAAGCCCAATAACAATGTACATAATAGTTAATACAATACAAATATTGTTATATTAATGGCCCAATATTCATGTTTTTCAACGATTGAAATTGGTCTCAAATTTTTTAAAATTCCTAGCCAATAACATTTAATATCAAATATAGTACCCAAAACAAATATTACAAAAATCAACTACAAATATTTGGAGTACAAAAAATAATCATCTGACCAAGTAAAACCTTTACATGGATAAGTTTAATACATATAATAGTGATTGATATATTAGAAACTTAAATTTTTATTATTTGCTCCATTTTAAGTTTTCACAAATGTTAATACATTGAGTTTGGCATGATTAAATTTATAGATGTTGTATCTTAAATCAATGATTATGTTATGATTTTTACTATTTTTTGTAACTTTTATTATTATTTTCTCTATCATATAGCATTCCGTGCCAAAGCACGGGTCAAAACTAGTTAGTTGTTAACGTGTAAAATTACTAATAACGTCATAAATAATTTGAAAAGAAATTGTGAAATGTACGCATATGCATAATGTATCGCTTTTGACTTTTCATTCATGTAACATTATGACATGTCTATTCTTTTCAAATATTTCCAGGAAAATGAGCAAATATTAAAAAAATGGGCAAATATGAACTTTCACCATTTTTTATTTAAGAAGCTAACTCCAAAAGGCTCGCGTTTTCAATCTTTGTTTTTTTTTTCTTCAAAAACATCCTCCCTATATTTAATTCCCGAATGCACTGAGCCTATTTGGTTGCTTCTGGTGCTTCGGAATCCTATTTGGCGAAGAATCATGCTTCGTAATTAGGTTTGAATAAATAATATTGATATATTAATAATTAATAATTTAGGTTCGGGTATTCCATAAATATTATTTAACTATCTTAGGTATTTTGATATCATTTTTACTAATATAACCCTTTAATTCATTGTAATTTTATATAGTGATGCACTAAGTGACTAATATATCCTTGAATTTTGATTTGTTTCCTTCAATAAGATATTGAATTATAAATGTATTTTAAAAGTTGATAACTTTTGTATTTTTTATCGGTTTTACATATATAATATATCAAATTAATCATCTTTTGATTATCTTCGATTTGACATCCATATTGTATCTATGAAATAAATAAATTATATTTATCTTTATAATAATAAAAAATAATTATATTTATTAAAATTCATTAGAAAAATAAAAATATTCTCAATTCATATATTTATATGTAATGTAGTTATATATTGTAAGTTAAAAAAATTATTATAATATAACACAAGTAAGTTGCACAAATAAAAAGTGTCATAATAAATATATAATAATATATATATATATATATATATATATATATATATTCTTATAAAAGGTATTTAAATTTTCAAACTACTTTTTCTCATCAATTTTAGATTTTAAGAAAAAAATTAGCAAGCACCCGTGTAATACACGGGTATTGTACTAGTAGATTATAATTACCAAACATTTGTGATTAACATTTCATAAAGTCAAACAACAGAAAAACTTCCGAAAAAACTATTTTTTTGGCCAAAAACATTGTTATTCAAACAACCCCTAAATGTTATGTTGTGATTGATGTTTTGGCCAATCTAACGGTACGATTACCTATGGTAGACATGACCACGATCCAAATGGGCCCGAAAATAACCATGAATCGGCTCGTGGTTTTACCCTGGTCGGTTCTGGTTCAAGCATTTATAAATTTTGAACCGACGGTTTCATTTAATTTTTTCATTTTTATTTTAAACTTTTAATTAATTTTTAATTTTTTGTAATGAACTAGTCTGGTTCGAAACAACCGAATCATTGAACCATTCCGTTCATATGATAGGGCCGATTCAGGGCTCTCCATACCTTGTCTCAAAACAGAGGTTTAACCCCGTTTAACCTATTGTTAGGCAATGCAAGAGGGTATTGGTGCACGCCTAGCTCCATCACAAACGCAACAAACTCGACCTGAAATGTGTCTTTTGACACATTGAAATTCTTGGAGATGTACATGAACATTTAGAAATATACATGATTGTTATTTCAGTAAAAAATGATATTTTTAAGAGAGCTTTGTTGCATTATTTTACAAAGTTCGTAAAACATCTTGTATAGTTGTATTCTTTGTGTTCGTTTCATCTTTAAGAGTTCGGAAACTTGAGCATTTTTCGTTAAATTTTCATGTATTTAAATTACCATTATATACTAGTTAAAGAAGTGTTGAATATTGAAAGTATTAGTCGTAAACCATGAATAATATATGAAGCTATTTAGAAGAACATACATTTATAAGCCCTTGACTTTGATTCATTAAGGGTGTGATTGTTTATGGATTGAATTAGTTTTTATTTGGTTTGTTTTTAACTATAGTTAATTTTGTAAAAAAGTAGTATGGTTAGTTATTAGTGGATATATTAAAATAATATTTAAATAAAATAATTAAAATTGATTTGATGCAAAATAGAGAAAAAATGATTGGAAGTGATAGTTAGTTAGAGTTATGTGAGTGGATGAATAGTGAATTAAAGTTGATTTGATGTGTAAAAATAATTTGTTGATATAATTTAATTATATTGATAATGTTGAAGATAGTGGGATTGAGTTAAAATTGAGTTAAATTTGAGTTTTGATTAATTTTTTTACTATTCAATTTATAAACAATCACCCTTAGTTTTTGTTCCTTCTTCTAAATTCTAGTCATTTTCTTGATATTATAAGAAACACAACAAACAACAGTATTGCATCAAATTATCTCACCATGAGACTAGGGCTGAGCATGGGACTCGGAAAATTCCGAACCGTTCCGAAAACCGAACCGAAAAATAACCGTTACCATTTGACTTTCTCCGAACCGAACCGAACCGAAAAAATAATTGGTACGGTTCTGGAGATTTCACAAATATCTGTACCGAGAACCGAACCGAACCGTACCGTACTGTACCGAACCGAAGAACCGAAATTAAGAACCGAATTATAGCATTAAATGTGTTACTAATATAGTTTATGTCAACTTTGATTCTATATAATATAGTAATAAAAATTAACATTCATTTTAATTTCATTCTTAGTAATACATGATCTACCATTGAATTTTTTCTATTATAAAATAATTATTTAAAATAATATGAAAGTTTTAAAAATATTTTTGTAAGAAAAAAATATTATATTTTATTTGAATTTTAAATTTTCAATATTAGTTGCACAAATTTTAGTTATAACTAAAATTTAGAGTTACTTATAAAGTTGATTTCAAAATAAAATTTTTATGTGAGGAAGTAGTGATGAATGTTAGTTTTATTAAAGCATATAAAAATTAAATAACTAAAATTTAGAGTTACTTCTAGAATTGATTTCAAAATAAAATCTTCAATATGATGAATTATTGATGAATGTTGTTTTTTAAAGCATATAAAAATTAAAATATAACTAGGTAGTCATTCAAAAATAATTAAAAAAAAAACTCCGAAGATCCGAAGCAAATCATACCGAACCGAACCGTCTCAATTGTCCCGAATACCGAACCGAACCGAACCGAAAAATAAAAATCTCCAAACCAAACCGAACCGAATTTTTGGTACGGTTCCGAAAATCGAATTTTGAGATCTCCGAAGTTTGGTACGGTTCTAGAGATTTATCAATCTCCGAACCGTACCGACCCACGCTCACCCATGAGACGTTGGTGAGAAAAAATGTTTCCTTTTATTTTTCTTTCAACTTTAATGGTGGCCATCCAAGTTTTGTCCTGAATCTTCAAGTGAATTAAAGACATATCCCTAGTGTTTGATTTTTTTTTTTTCTTATACATTCAATAATTTATGAATGAAAATAATTTAAATATAATATGATAATTTTTTTGCCAAAAAAAAGGTCATTTGAATTTTTATTTATTATTACAAATCATTGAGTTTCACTCATATGAGAGATGTTACGCTCCCGTTACGGAAATATTTAGTTAAAATTTGTAACCGTTAAATCAACTATCTCCGACGGTTACATGGTGATCTAACGGTTAAAGACTATAACACTTTTCTCACTTATAAATTAAAGCAAATAATTCATATAAATAAACCATACTATAAATAGATGAAAAACATGGACGGAAAGTTTTTATATTAATTAAGTTGCCATTATACAAGTTTTTTTTTTTTTTTTTT